TGAGGCGAGGAATCTGGAAAAGATCGATTAAAATTGGCTGCAGGGGACCTTTAAAACATCCTAAAGATAAGTGTTAAACCTTGACAGCTTATTATTAGGTCAAGTTGGCGTTTAGAAACCCATTTTTGCCGCTCAGTCCCTTTAAAAGCGTTTGAAAAGTCGCTAATTTTGCTTGGTATCTTGCCAAAAGCCAATAGAACGCGTCTTTACTTCCTTGTTTCTTTAAAGATGGTTAAAACCTTTGGCTTGTCATTTTGGCATCATCCCAAAATCACCGAACCTGATTTTTGCCTTGTGAAGAGCTTTAAAGGGGATAGAAAGGCACAGAATTTACCCTTTAAATCGGCTAGGTGTAGACTCCAACTTTTTCTACGTTTCCCCTAAAAAAGACGAGGTCTCGACAGTTATCATCGAAGGTAAAGGCTCTTTTCCGGTCATTTTGAATTCCTATGAAAATCATACTTTACCACACGCGCTATCCTGTATCATTTGGAATCTAGCGTATTTCTCGAGATCTGGCGGATCTATCGAGGGGTCGATTTTGGCTCTTTCTAGCCCCTTTAAAACGCAATTTTTGTCGACCCCTGGGCATCAACGTTATATGATTCCACCCAATCTCCAGAGTAATAATATTTTCCCCACCACTACACCACCATACTCCCCCTAAAAACACCTGAAAATTCCCAGGATCACCTGCCCGCACAAGCCGACTGACGCAAGCGCCACCATATTCCCTGGCAGCTGATTTATTTTGTTTGGGGGAAAGGCATATTGGAAATGTTTCCCCGGCTGATAGCAAAGGGAAAATTACAGGCCTATATTAGTGGCCGGGAGCGCGTTGTTGATGTCTAGTTTTTATGGTTAGGCTGAGAGCTTAATTTAGAAGGCTGTCAAAAGTGGTGAACGCCTCAAAGACCTCATTTTTGCAGCTCTGCAAAAGTGAGGCGTTGGAGATTGGACATTTACATTATAGCCCTCATTAAAACTTATCGCTATCAGCTGACCGATTACAAATTTCCGGCAACGTTTGACGTGGCTGGAATAAAAACAATAGTCAAAACACAATTTGGTTACTACGTCATACCTAAATTAATCTGGCTTTAAGAATATGTCCAGCAAGGTTTTTAACGGAAAAAGTCAATTTAGACGAACAAAGCAAATCGAAAAAAGCAGCTATGCGAAAAACTGCTTTATTTCGAAAAAATCTGGGCCAAAAAAGGCGTAAAAAGCTCGCCGAAAATAGGAATTTAGAAGAAAATTGCTCCCAAACGGTATCTAACGTTTATTAAATCAAGATACAAATTTTAAAATTATAGAAAACAGTAAAAATACACCTTTCAAGTAATCGCGGGCCCGAACTTTACCTTAACACGAAATTCCCGGCATAATGAGCTCCAAAAACGCTAGAAGCGAAGAAAGGACCAAGGGCAAAGGTATTTAAGTTTTATTAAAATTAGAAGCCTTCTTAAAAATGTAAAATTCAGGTGAAATTAAGATTTCCAGCCCAGCAGTTGACACCGATCTCGCGTTTATGTCGAAATTCCATGAAATCAGGGCTTAAAAAAGGTTTAGAAGAAGGTATAATTGGCAGTAGAACGGTTCCTTAAAAGTATGTAATTATTATTAAATCGAAAGTTTGATTTTAACTGTTAAATTTAGGTCAAAATATAGTTTATAAACGGTCCTGGTTGCGCAAGGCCCGGCGGCCCCCTGTGACGACAAACCCTCCCTCACCCCCTCTCCCCATTGACCTTGGCCTATTGGCTGTGGAGCAGGCCCCCGGCCCGCAAGACCCGGGTTCGACCCCCGGCCGTGTCGACACGCGTTTCAGTTGAACATCCAAAAGGACTCCCCCTTTCCGGATGTGGGATATAAACGCAATAGCATGGTCTAGGCTATACGTATGCAGCAAGCTGGTGTGCTAGCGGCATCCCGGGCTTAGAATACATTTTTGCGGTTTTTGAAGAGTTTTTCAGTCTATTGGACCATGTTGCTGATTAATTTTTTGCTTTAAAGATGAGATAAAGCATTGTAAACATATTACCATTGATTTTTCTAAGGATGAAAACTATTTAAAAGCGATCTCTGACGGGTTAGCTATTTTAAAATCTCGCTTTATCTGGCTGCTCGCTAAACAGTTCTTTTTTCGAGTTTGAATCATTCCCTATTTCTCGCCTTACAAAGATGAACAGATGTACTAAAAGCTAAATTAATTAAAATCGCACTTCCAAAAACAGATTCCAGATTTTCCTCTCTCAAGCTCCACAACTTCAGAATTTTCAAGCTTTTCTGGCTCAACGAAAGTTCAAATGTTATCTTTCAGTATAAGATGCTTTTAAAAATTGAACGTCAAATTAAAGTTAGATTCTAAGAATTATAGTAATCATATAAATCATAGCAAAACATGGTTTCCTTATTTTCAAACAAAAGTTAACCCCGCATATTCTCGATTTTTCAGATTCCTTTCCAATTAGGGTAAGCTCAAAATTATTACCCTCAACCGTCAACAAACACCGGAGTTACATTCCAAATTATACACCTCAGAATTTCAGAAATCGGCGCCTCTTCTTTGTCTAAATCTTTCCTAATCTAAATTCCGCTCATCAAAAAAAACCCCCTGAATAAGCCGTTTGCCCCGAAATTTGCAGGCTAATTTTTGAGGCCGAAAAGGCGAAGCTTTTTGCATTTATTCCCCGCTTAATTTTCGGGAAAATAGAGGGGTTGGGAATAAATTGAAAGTTGTCCCCGGAGACCTGGCGAGGGGGCCGCTTTTAATTGGCGGGCTACGGTAATCACTAGCTGGATACGGTAGCCGGGGGAGCTCGGAAAATTAGTGGGAATTCTGGAAAACATTTCCAAAAACTCAAAATTGGGTCATTATAAGGGGATAATTGGGTCATTATAAGCAGAATAATTTTTTCAGGCAAACTCAATGGGCATGCGTTCAGATCCCTAATTTGCATAAAAATAAAAGATCTATACATTTTTAAGCTGGGGCATTGAACCTTCGGGCTTGTTTTGACCCACCTTGGATATGAGTCTCGTTGCATTAATGTGAAAATTTGATTTTGTGCCTCGTCGAACGTTTGTGCGGATGGTCGGACCTGAAAAAGCGTATTAAATTCGTATAACTTTGAAAAATCCATTTATGATGGAATCGTTTAAAAAACTTTAAAACGCAGGATTAGGCATCAAACTACAGTACGTTTTAAAGGTCTGCTCTATCATTAGTGCACCAATTCGGGCCAGAAATCCAACAGGGAATTCTCCAAATTTAAATCCGGAAATCAAATCACCCGATTTTTTAAAATTCTGATTCGATTACCCGGATTTTGGCGGGTTTTCAAGGGTTGAAAAAGTACAGGATCTCTGGTTCTGAATAGCAGCCGTTTTACATTTGTTTTAAAGGACAATTGAAGCCAAGTATCGATCGAAAATGCAAAAATCTAGTTTTTAAAATTAAAGGGACAGTCATTCGAAAAAAACTGAACATACCATGTTATTGTTGACAATTTCTCGGACCCGTGAATCGAGCGAAACTTCTTTTGGGGAAAGGATCGAGATGAAATCCTCGTAGATAATTCGAGCCTAAAAATACACAAAATTCGCATTAAAATAAATAAAGCTATAAAAAAAAGTAAAAAACCCACTTTTTCCTCAATTTTCTCTGCATTCTTTTCCCGTTTCAACTCTTCGCACGCCTGCCAAAACAATATATTCTCGTCGGAGTATTCGCCTTTCAGGAATTCGGCAAAATGCTTCTGGCCGGCTGAAAAAGAGTAAATAAACACAAAAACAAAAATGAAATCATATAAATATTGTTTAAAACCAAGAATCTAGGCATTGAAGATAGTTTCCGCAATATTCAAGTCATTAGTGCAGTAATGAAGTCGCACAAATAATCTCTGCTAGCTTGCTCCTCGTTCTCTCCTACGCAATCTTAGGCAAAATACTGATTTCCCAAAATAACCGTTATTTTTTAATTGTTGCGATTTTTTGGATCCTATAGTACCTTATTGCCAAATTTTTACCCCAACTCACATTTATTCCGCATCAAATTCTCAAACGACTGTGACCATGCGTATATCGTATCGTAGGAGGGCCTGAAGATGATGTTTTTAGGGCTTTTCGCCGATGCCGAAGCTTTATTACGTTTTATGTATTATTAATATGCGCTTTACGTTTTTCTGTTTCTTTACTAAGCTATCACAATCTTGTTAATTTTCCCAGGTGCAATTTAAGCTTCTCCCTCCCAGCAAAAACCCCGCAGATCTTGACGTCAGCGTCGCGTGACCCGGTTCAAGTCCATTTTTGCAAAAGCCGACATAGCGCCCGATTTTCCAATTTGTGCAGCGCGCAGACATAATTTGGCCGCGAGAACATTCTCATATCGCCGATCTACCGGGAAAAAGTTATACGGCTGACCAATTGACGCGGCGATAATGGGCTTACATGTAGAGGTTGTCAGGTCACAAGTTCCAAACCGGCTGAAAATTGGTGGAAAAATCGAATAAAATACGGGGAACACGATGCGATAAAAATTATCTGCTAATGGGCACTTTTGTTTAATAAACTTTTCATTTTAAGATTTTGTATGGAAAACCCACCTAGATTCGCAGCGAGCCTGGCCAGAACCGGGGCGCGCAGGCGCGAGCTCTTGAAGCCTCTCCAAGGGCCCCCGCCCGTCGGCCCGGTGGTGTAGAGGTAGGGTGCGGGGAATAATAGTCGAAAGGTCACGGGTTCGGTTCCCACATTTTTTATTTTTTTTTTGCTTTTTGCTGTTTTTGCTTTTATTTTGTAGGGAGCGCGTCTAGAATAGTTTTTATAATGGTTTTCGGTCCTATTAATCAGTAGCGGCCGCCTCGACAAAAAAATAAATTACAAAATTTTGGAAGTTTTTGCAAAAAAGGGCCTACCTACCTATTCCTACTCCATGAAAATCGACAGGATAGTTTATACAGATTAATTTTTGTACAGGTATTGTAAAGAAGCAGTCATCATCGGAATCTGGAATCTTTGGGCTCTGATTTTAAACACCTGGGGTCAGAACTAACTATTTTAGGCAGCTGCTAACCCACCTAGCGGCCAAAGCTATGCGATAGGTCGTCACAATTTTCGGAGAAAAATTTTTTCAAATAAAATTTTTTTCCAGGTGTGGGAAGGTACCTAGTGTCATACTTTCCGTGGCAATTCGATCGAAACATTTATTCCGAGACGGAAAGCCCGGTTAATCCGCTGAAAGTCCATTTTACCTTCATTTTTCTTACTTAAAATGAAAAGTTTATTAAACAAAAGTGCCCATTAGCAGATAATTTTTATCGCATCGTGTTCCCCGTATTTTATTTGATTTTTCCACCAATTTTCAGCCGGTTTGGAGCTTGTGACCTGACAACCTCTACATGTTAGGGCTGCTACTAAAGTTTGACACCAGGGTTCATAGGTGTGTTTCGTACTGCAAGGGGTGTTCTACGGAATTTGGAAGTGATGCTTAACGCAAAAACACACCAAGACTTATAAAAAGAGTCTGCTTGCCGGTAAATCAGAATTAAAAAATCAGAAAAATAATAATTGATCTAATTTTTCCGGAACTTTGAACACTTTTCGGGCTTTTCGAGCTTGCGACGCCAGAAAAACCAGGATTAGCACTGGATTTCACACTCTCTATTTTTTGCTGATTATGATTCAGGATGGATTTTAAGGCACCCAGGTTATAAGCGTCTTTTAAATATCGATTAAACTTATAAATTCAGGTTTTGCTAGCTTCCGAAGATACAGGAAAATCAAGTTTTCGCTGGTATATCTTAAATTCATAAATTAAGAACCCACTTATCAACATCACCGCTGTCGCCGCCGCGACCGATCGGCCTCTTGTCGTTGGAGACTCCATTGCTAAAACTGAACGGGCGGTTAGTTTTCAGGAAAGATAAGTTTTTAATATTTTTGGACGATTTTGCAAAGAATATCGTGTAGTTTTGCTGCTCCCTCATTTTCCCATGAACTACTAAAAACATGCTCTCAAAAATCCCGGAAGCCCGGCTCAAAAATCAAAAATTCTCGTTCCGGGTGGGTGACCCGGGCGCAACCAGGACATTTTCCAATTTAGTTATTAGCAAGGGCAATACACCTAGGAATATGCTGCAGAATCACTAAATTAGACGTTAAATTGGTTTTTAGATTCCCGCTACGCGTCACTAGTAGAGTTGTTATTTTCGTGAATACTATTTACGGTTTACGCGGAGGGTTGTTACGAGCGGATCGTAAAAATACTGAAGCAGTGCGGCTACTAGACCTACCGCAAGTTGGGACAAATGTAATTTGTAGCGTAGTGTAGTGTAGCGGAATTCAGGATTTCGACAGCTATTTCATAAAAAGAACAACAAACTTAGCATTGCATAGAAAAGCTTAATTTCAAAAAAAGGCGACAATGTGGAGAAACTCCTATGCATTCTAAAGATTTATTGATTTTGGGAATTAAATAAGGCTATTTGATAAGCCTTGTTTCTTCAAAAAAAAAAAGCAGTAAAACGTATTTCCATTATTTTTCTAACCTCGTAAATTTCTATGAATTTTTGAAACGCTAGAAGAAAATTTTCTCAATTTTTGAGCACATCTCCGTTCTGAAGAACTATTCTTTGCCCTATCTACATTTTCCAAAAATCCCCACCATGCCACCCCAAATCCCGGGTAAGCCAAATGACGCACAAACGCTAGCGGAACCCCGGGGCAAAACCACAAAACGAGGTCTTCAAAACCAATTACCACAAACGCATCGGGGTCTTGGAAGACGTGGCGTGCACAAAATGGAAGAAAAGAAGCGGAAACGGCCGGAATATTGGATTTAGAATTGTGCAATGTGGACAGACAGGCGGTGGGAAGGTATTGTTTTTCAAATTCCGAGTCACAGAATCTCAATTCTGGTGAATCGAATTGAATTGGAGGCGATATCTCCGTCTCTCTCTCACTCTCTCTCCCTCTCTCTCTCTCGTGTGGGCGTTTCCTATGTGAATTTTGAGCGCCTGCTCCGGCTCTGATTGAGCGCATCCAAAATATCCCCTCCATAACAATACCCCCGGACAAAATGGCCAATGCTCAAAAAACGTACCCACGCGTTTTGATTCCGGAACAATGGGGCCGAGCTGTTTTTTTTTGAGGGAGGGGATTGAAACAAATATTTTCTGGTGCTGCAACGTATCCGGATAAGCAAAAGCCCGAGGTGCAAAAGGTTGAGAATGAGAGTTGGAGGTGCTCGGCAAAATAGACCGATTCTAGGTTTAAAAATGAGGATATGGAGGGTGAATTGGTTTTAAAACTACTTTCCTATTTAGCATACAATCGTTACAATTTAATGGACGCTGAGAAATTTTTTAAGGCCTAATTCAAGTTTAAAAAATGCGTTATAAATAGTGGAACCAAATCAGATCCCAGTAAAATAAAGTGAGATCGGTGAAAATTTTTGAGAATAGTCTTGCTAGATTTAAGATGAGGCGAGTATGCTAGCGGCGATCATTTAGGAATTAGCGCTTCGGCAGACAATGAAACTCCATGTTTTTGACGTTTTTGCCGTTTTAGGGACGATCAAATACGACTTACACCTCTTTACGCCCCCACGTTAGAAACCCTGGTAAAATTATGTTTTATTGATCGTTACTTGTCCTGACAATTCTGCCGACGCCCGGACCGACAGACAATACGAGTGTTCAGTACGAGCTACGTCTCTTTACGACCCCAATGATTCTAGTGAATCTATTTTCCTAAATATTCCGCTTGACCTGACAATGCTGCCCATGCTCTCCCAAGGCGAAACGACGTCAAAGCTGCCGCCGCGATCCGCCGTTCCGCGGCGACCGCATTTTTCTCGTGGCTCGCCCTCGTCCTGATCGTTGTCGAGATCGTGAAAGTATTCAGGGTGTGCGAGCGGGGCGGCCGAGTAGCGACGCCCATTTTCACGGATACTTTGGGTAGATGGTTGTGGGTTGTCTCGGGTCCCAGGCTAGCACCGCCGCCTCCTGAACCTGGCGATGACGTCGAGAGAGACCCGGTACGGTACCGCGGCTTCGGAATGTGATTCGGGGTGGAGACAGGAGCGGATGAGGGTCTTGAGAAAAGGGACTTTTATTTTTGAAGTTTGCAATTCTGGGATTTATATCTATTTATATTTATTTTGAAGGAATTTTGAGGCAGATTAGCTTAGGATTTTTATAAATAGGTCTATGTAATTTTAATTAAAAGTTTATGTAGGTCTAAGTAGGCAAAAAAGTAAAAAAGTTTAAGTTTGATTTTTAAGTAACCCCTAATCCCCTGAATTCGACAGCTATTTTTACTTGACCTATTCTTTCCCCGACCCAATTCCCGACCTAAATTTAAATGTATTAAATTTAGCGTCAGGAGCTAAGTTACCCTAATGATTTCGCTAAAGCTAATTTGCATAATTTGGGTTGTTTGGCCCGGGAAGGCGGAACTGAAACCACGCACTACATTTCGGGTTGGCCCCACATTCAGTGTAGCCCCAGGAATTCCAAGAACTCCAGTGGTCCGCGTTGCATACGAAATCGACCCTCCGGGACTCGAGAATGGGCCTAATTAATGTGTGGAAAGGTGGGGTGTGCTAGAAATTTGAGTAAGTTGAATTGTTCGGGTTTTTAAACGTGGTAATGGTTGAGCCAAAATTTTAATAAGGTCGGAATTTCTGATTTTGGAGATTTAAGACTTATTTTCACTTCATTATCA